AAAAAAAAAAAAAAGAACCTTCAATACTCGGTACTCTAACGTCCAACCAGAAGAAAGAAAAACTCTCTCAGGCAGAGCCCTAATTCGTGAATCGCCCCCGCTCTTCACTTCGCTGCACCGGAATTAAAATCGGCATCGACACTGAGATTCTCTTCTCTCTGCATACAGAGGAACTCTCCTTCAGGTATATCTGCTATGACTTTCCTTGCATCTCCTTCTTAAAGTTTTTTATAATACTGGGCATAGCGAATTGTTGGGATTCTTGAAGTTTTCCTTGCATCTTCTTTTCATCAGTGAACATCTTAAGAGTTTAATACTGGATTTTTTTGTCTGTGCAATATAAGTTCTTAATTTTTATTGTTCCTATTTGCCTTTTGTAAATGTGTATTTAGAACAATATGTTAATCGAAAACTCTCTTTCATGTTTGTGTATTTTTTTTTCCATTTTTTCGGTTTTTATCTATTTAAACCAAAATCGAACAGTTTTATTGGGAATTGACAAATGGGGTACCAAATTCTTATCGGTTTGGTTTCGGTTTGAATATTAGTGAAACTGAACACATTCGGTTCGGTATCGGTTCAGTTAAAGAACTGATACCAGTCCTAAAATGAACAATTAAATTGACCTCAAAGAGAGTTCTATAAAGCAGATATGTCATCCTAAAGAAATTGAGTTGTATTGCAACAAAAATAGAGTACAATTTTTTCAAGCACAAAAAGAAAATCCAATAAGGCTACAATATGCTACTGCTCGTCGAAGGTAGTGTTCCCTTAGTAGCCGTCGACCCATTACGACTATGGTGACCTCAAGAGCAACATCTCTTCAGAAGCTTGCTCAGCGGTGGGGGTGACCTTGGTGGTGGGAGCAACCTCGGCATTGGGGGAGACCACAACGGTGGTTGCTCAACAGGCTGCTTGACTTGGATTTGGCGGGGAAATATTATCAAGCGTTTTCTCCAAGTCACGTCGGCGGATGGCCTTCTCGATCGTACCTTCCAACCACTTTTCGTCGTTGGAAGGTTAGGGTCGTCGTTGTAGCCATCGAGGAAATGGGGGTTCTGCTCGACAACATCAAGGGTCCTGGTGACACCTTGAACAACGGATTGCTCAGCCCGATCTGATGTTCTATTGAATAACCGGAGCGCAGCGGGGCAGAACTTCTGAAGGAAGCTCAGAGAATTGCAAAAATAATTACCGAGCTCCTCTCTACATGCCTCCATGAACTAGCTCCATAACTTGGAGGTGAGGAAAGCCTAACAACCTTTAACCCGAGTTTCATTGACGGCGATATTTACCTCAATTGTCCTTTTATTTCTCTTTCTCCATGTGGGTGGCATCAGGCTCTCTGGTCTGAGTGGTGAGTAGTTTCTTCAACTTGGTCAGGTGGTCATTCTTCCGCGTCATTTCCATCAGCCCGTCTTTGAGCTTCTTGTAGGAGGGAGAAGAGTCACGTAATCCCTGGTAAACCATTGGGACCACCAAAGACAGAAATTGTAACATCTTGAAAATGTAGAAAACATGTTGTTTTAAGTTTCTAGATAAGATAAATCGGAAAATGAATACTTACTGAGCAATCGCATCAGCTGCGTACTCAGCCCCACCCCTATGGTCAGATTCCCAATGTCTGGTCTCCCCGACAGGCAAGACCTTCATAAGGTAGGAGATGATAATTAACCCCTCCTGACTGTAAGATATAATCCTGCAGTTTCCTTGTTAATAAAGTGCAACTTTCTTGCACTTTCATTACACTTTCATTGCATTTTCTTTGTAGCTTCCTTGCAGCTGCAAAGGACCTTCATAGCAGCCCCTTTAGGCTGAATTTTCAGCTTTAGTAATTTCTAGGAAAGTGTTGAATAGTAGTTTTTAGTTCCTATAAATAGGGATGTAGTTTTTCATTTGTAAAACAACAAAAACACAGAAAAGCTTAATACTCAATACATTGAGTTGTTTACAATCTTCTTCTTTCATCCTAAAAGTGTTCGTTTGTACCGGAAGCATTTTTTGCTTACCTGAGCAGTGAACGAGCAGGGACTAACAAGTGGCATCAGAGCCATGGCAAGCCAAGATGTTGCGTCGATGGTGCAAGGGAGCGGAGCATACGCTTCACCATGCCAGGAGGTCATCATCCACAGGACCGTGCGGGACGTTGGCGGGGCCAACTGGCCGGTCCTCACACGCACAAACTACGGCGAGTGGACGGTGCTGATGAAGGTCAAGTTGCGTGCGCGCAAGCTTTGGCGGGCCATCGAGGAAGGCACCGAGGATGAAGAAGAGGATTGCGCAGTGCGGGAAGCAATTCTGTCCGCTGTGCCTCCCGAGTACGTGGAGTCGCTGGGCGCAAAGGACTCCGCAAAGGCTGCTTGGGACGCCCTCAAGGCCATGCGCATCGGGTCTGATCGCGCAAAGAAGGCGAAGGCGCAGCAGCTGCGGCGGGAGTACGAGGCGCTAGCATTCCGCGACGGCGAGGCAGTAGAGGATTTCTCGCTCCGTTTGCAGTCGCTCGTCAGTCAGCTGGCGTCGCACGGCGTCACCATCACCGACGAGGAGGCGGTAGCGAAATACTTGCGCGTCGTGCCGCCTAAGTATGCCCAAATCGCGCTCTCCATCGAGGCGTTGATCGACATGTCCACCCTCACGATTGAGGATGTGACTGGGCGCTTGCGGGCAGTGGATGACCGCGTGGAGACGGCGACGATAACTACCAGCGGCAAGTTACTACTGACCGAGGAAGAATGGGCAGCTCGTATGCGCGAGCGGCGACCCGGGGAAGGCTCCTCCAACCGTGGCGGCTACGGCAAGCGTCGTTGTAAGGCCCCGCAGAAGAAGAAGGACGGCAACAACGCACGTCCGATCGATAAGGACACTTGTCGACGCTGCGGGAAGACAGAGCACTGGGCCAGGGA